CTGATCGATAGGCTGAAGCGGCTGCCAGAGACGCCTGATATGCTGACGTCTGTTCTCAACCTTACACTGCACCCGTAATTCAGCCTCTGGGCTGCAAGTGGTCAGATATAAACTATATTCATATTCATCAAACGAAATTAATTGATAATATTAACGTAGTTGCCATGTACTTATTACATACTCCAACGCTGTGAAGGACACTAATTCATTTAATTGACTAATTCATCATTTCAGCGCTATAGATAGTTTGATGAATGAAAAAGAGGAAGATACAAAAATAGTCGTTAGAGTGAAAGAACCAATTTAAATACGCTTCTGTTGACATGAAAAAGTGGATGTCATTCTACCTTTTAACTGGATAAACGCGAATCTAGACAAGAACTATCAGACATGGGGTGCTGACGGGCCTCACCTTTTTCCTTCAACAAGTTGCAAACTATTGAATGCAAAACAGCAATTGCAGGAATTCAACAGAAGTTGAAATACAACCCAAGGTCGTTTTAAAAGGCCCGTTGGTGTTTCAAATGCGTCAAACACCTGTTTTTGAAATCTATGCCAATTGACGAATTCAAGAAAAAAATCTCCAGAAAATAAATTTGTTACAGTGCCTCTGAGAATTTAAAGAAAATCATTTGCATGGAGGACATCTAAAACTCTCTCTACTTGACAACACAATTAGTCTTTTCTTACCAGCAATTGACGGTATGATTTTCAAAAACCAGAAGTATGGTGGAGTCCTCAACTGGTGTATAAATCATCCAGTTACAAGTTTTGTAGTATGATGGGCTGCCAGCTTCATCAATTACACCAGTTTTTTCAGTCATCGTACTTCCGCATACTGTTAAGTCGAAAGAGGATAAAACATAGTTGAATTTGAAATCCATCGCTTTTAACAGTGTGACATTGAAAACAGGTCATCACTTCGGAAGTGATGACCTGATTTCAATGCTACACATAATCCTCGAAACGGCGTTTCAAGGGTTTTGGCTTTACAAAAATACAATAGACGACCTTGCGAAAAAACCTATGAAAATGTCCCTCTCCAACCCCCAGCTGCTGAAAAAGGTTTCTTTGTGAATATACGTGGGGTAAATGAGACAGTTAACTAAGAAGCCATGCTATCATAAGTATCATTATCAATATTATTATTATCATTGTTTTAATCATTGTTATCCTTATTATTAGTATAATTATTAGAGCCTGCCCGAGTCAATCTTTTTTTTTACGGAATAAGAGATTAATTTCTTTTTAACTTGTTTCTTTCAATACCAGAGACGAATAATTTTATTTGTCATGACTTACTTTGAAAATACCGGACTCCCTTCAAGAGTTACTGATGGTATCTGAACCACAAGGAATGTATTTGGGAAATCGTTATTAACACTATCATTAAATTTTTTGTTATTTATATGATTCTTAATGTTCTATAGTGCGTAACTCTTCAAATTTTCTGTAAATTATGTACATATTTTAAGAGTTTAATAAAGTTGTTGTTATCATTATCATTAATTATCATTATTATAATCATTATTATTGCCATCATCATTATCATCATTGTTATGACCACTATTATCGTTAATGTCATTAGGATCAATGTTTTGTTTTCTTTTTTCAGTGATAAATCATTATTGTTATCGAAATTGTCATCCTCTCATCATTATGGTCATTATCATCATTCACATCATTTGCATCATTCGTTATCATCACTATTGTTACTACCATCATTATTTATATTTTATTTTATTTTTGGTAGAGAGTCTATCGTGATCATTTCCCTACTCACTCGTCCTGATTTTTTATCTTGAACTTTTATGGAACCACTAACAACGTGCTGGATAGCAAGGAAGATTAACACTTTTTTGTTGATTGAAAATTCTACATTTAGGCTTTGAACTAAAGTTGAAGCTTGCGAATAAGACGACAAACCACTGAGCTAATAGGACGTAACCGAGATAAAAATATAACTATGTACAGTTGACTCTATCTATAAAGGGAACAAAATAAAAATTACCTGACGATGCAACAGCAACAACAGATGATGATGTAGGCCAAATGGCACTTGGTGGATTTGCAAGGCCTAGATTGAAACAGGAAACTTGAACGGTGAGCCTTTGCTTGTCTCATTTTCCTGTGAAGTTGAGCCTTTTGAACGCTATTTGGACAAAGTATCGCTCAGGTTCAAGAATCATTCATCAGCTTTTGAAAGGTGGTTTTTTTCAAATGTTTGTCTTAGGGTAGCTCAAGGTGACGGATGTAAGCAAATTGCTCAAAGTACTCCATCATTTCAAGTTATTTTCGTACCTGAGTTGTGCGAATATCGAGAATTGATTGGCAGTCTCATAGGATTTTCCTTTGGAATAATATATAAATTAAGGGAAATAGTAGTCAAGAATTAAGTCGAGTTATTTTAATGGACAATAAGAGGAAGCGTCTCAGAGGTTTTAAGCAGATTGAAAATAAAAATTATGGCGCTTCCTTCGTTCATCAACGAGGACGTAAACCTTCGCTCAAATAGTATTCTTCCTGGTGGCAACTAGAATTTGTATTTCTATTTATTGCCAAGCAACTGCGAAATAATTTTATATTGTTTTTCTTGCTACGGCAATACTGTTTTAATTGTCCTGTTTTTATTCAATTAAGTTTGCTTTTTTGCGTGAGGTTCTGTAAGAATACGTAACGCCGGTAGCAATTTAGTTTCGCCAGCACGTACGTTGTTTTGGTTAGATAAATTCCATTGCTAGTTGAGTTCAACTAGGTCAGTCGTTTCGTTAGTTTTTTTCTGGCGCTGTGTTGCTAAGGGTTTTATTGTCGGAACTGGTTACGCCGCAAACTGTAAGTTCATTTCTATTCAATTTATATTTTGTCGTTGTTTTTGTCGTTGTCATATTCTGTACTTAGATTTTAGAATAAATAATTTATTTTTTCAGTTCGTGAGCGGGTGGGATTCTACAAATCCTACGATCTGATTGGTTTCGAGAGCAGGCAGTATTTTCCCATCAGGCCTGCTCTCAGCGGGCGGTATCCGTTTCGTGGTGAGTCGTTTTACAGAACATCTCTAGCTTCGTTGCAATTTTTCATAAACATATCTTGTTTTACCGGCTGGGTAGCACTTTTAAGGAAAGACTTCTGTCACGACCTTTTGCCAACAAATAACATCAATTCGCTCCTCTATCTCTCTGTCTTTCAAATCACTTAAGTTTTTCCGCAAAAATTGATTTCGAATTGAATTTGTAGTACTAAATTTTTTTGAAAGATTGAAACGCGGCCTAAAATCAACCATTTGTAATTTAATAATCCTGCACAAAAAGTAACTCAGAAAGTTAAAACGAAAGATATATGCAGGTAACAATTATATTTATCAATGTGACTCTCATTCGTCTTAATACCTGAATTCTCCGAAGTAATTTGTTCGTTTATGAAACGTTGAGCGAAGTTCATTTGAGATCTATGAATGCCCTTTCGCTTATCCTTTGCAAATCCCTTCAATTTGGACATTTCTACCATAAATTTCACAACAGAAACCAAACGAATTCGATGAGTGAAAGTCGCATTAAATCCCCTTGTGTCCAGCTAGAAAAAGCTTCTCATTTGACTTCAGTTTTCGGTGGAAGAAAGACAAGATTTACTTACGCCATTCCAGAAAACAACGAGCGGACTTTCAAAGCTCCAAATTCACTCACGATTTCACTTTCTGTGACATTTAAAACTGATCAGAGGTAAATCTTCGTAGATTAATCGTCGTTGGAAGTAAGATGTCTGAGTGTTTTTTAGCAGAGGATCGTCGGTGTGGTCATTTAACTCGAGTTTATCTGCCATACCAGTACTGTTGTTCATACAAGTGTGCATGCACTTTTTTCCCTCTCCAATTGACAGATGTGAGATTTTGACAGATCCTTTTTAAAAAATGCTTTGAAAGTTAGCTTGGAATCCTTTTAAATAACCTGGCCATTAAGTAAATAAAAATCTTTTTGTAGCCAAGTTCTTTTGGCAAGCATTATTTAAGTGTTAGAAAAAAGTACCAAGTACCAAGACCTTGGGCACAGTTTTTCCCAATACGGACTCCCCCGTCTGGTGGATAACGTATTCTTATTTTCGGTTGAATCTCACACATCTACAAATCTTTGCAACTAAACACACGTCCATCTGGCAAATAAACTATATGTGCATTCGCTTCGTGGAGTTTGGATCGACTTTTTCGAATATCCTTATTATTATACTTGTCATCATGAAAGTGCTTTATAGATAAGTATGTTGTCAGGATAAAGCAAAGACTGATTATGTGTATTAAAGCCAATCGTGAGAACCCTACCTGATATAGATGAAGAAGGCAAAGAGCGAGAGACAAACGTCCATGAAGGCGTCAATTCAGGCAATGATGATGAATGTGACTTTGAAAATGATGACGACGACGACGACGGCGATGCTGAAGAAGACAAGGCTTCTGCAGAGCTTGATGGAGTGATGTCTGATGAAAAAAATAAAACAGCAAGATGCAAGTTACACATCAGAAGGAAATAGATGAGGAGTGCAAGTTTCTAAAGAAACTGGTGCTGCGTCGGTGGGAGTACAGTATTAAAATACAAGTTGGTTTTATCATCTGAGTTGACAATGTAAACTAGCCACCGTAGAGAGCTGATTTTTCGCGTCGGCAGGGTGAATGTCATATTTCCATCAGTTACTGTTAAACATTTTGAACTGCAACTTGTATTTCGGTGTAGCTGGGTCTAGTTTATTCGATTCCAGTTCAAAGAATTTGTTAAATAAGAGGTTACTTTGGGTAAAAACAGAATTGTGACATTGGTTTAGTGAGAATTCGCAGTCTGAGTCCATTACTTCTAGAATTCGCTCATGACAGTCAAATTCAGAAAAATCGAGTCGATACAAGTTTTTCCCCCTTATTATTCCCTCTGCGTTTGGTGGAAGACGAGTGAAAGACAATAGACCTTTCACTTGAATAGTCGGAAACAAGTAGGACATAGATTTACGTCCGTGAGTTCATTCTGCGATATTTTCTGCATTTACCAAGGTCTGCTACTATTTTTATCGCTTTTCGTTTCTGCAAGGCACAAATTGGATCTTTGTATTGTATGTTTCGGTTTGCCGTTAAGATTTGACAAGATAATGAAACTTAGGCTTTTAGTTTGCATTCGCTGGATTGCTTCGATGAGTTAATTTGCCGGAGGTTAATGACCCATTCAAACAATGGTGAACGTGTAGCCCATTGTGCGCCGAAGACTCTTGTTAGAAGGCAAATCATGTTGGCGCCGGAAATGACAAACGAATGTCAGTCAAAGAAAGCTTTACTTTGATTTAACCACTGTAGCCCGCGGGCATCATTAAAACTTTGACAGTGCCCGCCAGCCATGATATTAAAAGGATGATGGAAGAAAATTAACAACTAGATCGAGTTACACATCTAGACGAGTATAATTTTGTGACGTTTCCATCAAGATTCATTTTGGTAATTGTGCCTCGGGAGGGCTATGCGTAGCTTATCTGTACCATCTCTTGTTAAATGAAGCGGATTCATTTATGCAAAGTCTCATACGAGAACAATGCATATGCTCCTCGAGAAACATGGACCGAGGAATCGAATCTATATTTCAACAGTTTTTGTACAATAGATAGAATGCTAAAGGAAATCTGTACTGAATGATAACATACTCTAGTGATAGATTACTCCTATATCAAATCTTTGCCATCGAAAGCTGGATTTGTACTTGACCTAAATGATCTAGTTTAAAGAGCAAACGCTCGCGTGATCGAACTAGCAAGCCCTGTTTCACATTTGACATTTTGGCTGCACCTAAATATTCAAATGCAGTTTTGAAGTGGACATAGATGAAAATTGCGATGCAGAAAACAAGCCCTTGGTAGGAGACGCCGGCTGAAGGCGGTCTTGTCAGCCGGGTATTATTTGAGTTTCCTATATGTTCTTGTGCACGCTTAAAGTTCAGTTCTTTGGTAGGTGTCTTGATGATGCAAAATGTAGTATTGCATTTAAAATGTATAGTGATGTTCACCAGCGTTAGTTCACGAGTCGCGTCCTTTCCATTGCCAATAAACGAGGACCGTGGGGAATCACATTTTTGAATAAGAATGTATATTGCATTCCCGTCAAAACTCAAAACTAAAGATAAGAAGAGTGCTTACTTTGGGACGAACCGTAGATTATCAGAAAAAGTGACAGCATCAGGACCAGCATCTTCATAGAGGTGGCTGTTACTGTTCAAAATGATAAGCATCTGCATTCCTCTGATGACGTAGGATGGGCGCACTAAAAGGGACAGTGTCAAGGTTAGGCCACAGGCCTAAACAACAAGAAAATAGGCTAAGTCCATTTTATTTCAAAACAAGACATTTTTTTCTCTCTTTTAAGGCAAACCGATAACATCCCATACAAACCTTTATAAATATAAAACATTGCGCAACACTGTAAGAGTCACGTCCGCTTTTCTTGTAGTGAGCTTGGGATGCCTGTGGTTAGGCATGTGCATTGAAATACAACAATTCTAAGCTTTGATATATATGCGTTATTAACCAAGCGTGAGGTCAAGGTAGCTGAATATTGGCCCAGTGAAGTCGTGGTACACAAAATGTGCGAAAAAATAACGACGTTTACATCCAGCCATCTTGACCGAACAAGCTTGGTAAATAAAGGATTTCTTATATTGCAAAAAGATTTCGCTTTATTAAGAGCTAAGAATGACTTGTTTACTTAGAGAGCCGGGAAAGAAAGTCGATCATGTTCGTAGCACATTAAAATCACGAGATACGTTTCCGTTTTCCTTGTTTTGACTATCTTCTGCCCTCTTTTGCGTTTCCATCACCGACATTATTCAGAACGTAGTTCAACTTCAATTGTTTTCATGCGCAGGATTAATGCAGGCAATCCTGAGCCCTGTCCGTTCGGGTAGCCAATCAGAACACAGGATTCGCTTCATCGTGCACGGGCGCTGCGACCGATGTAATAAGTAGATTTAACCAAGCCTAAAAGCCGAGCTCCAGTTATTTTAAGTTTTGGTCTTCATTTCGTTGAAAATCCTTGGCACTTCCTGTTACAACTTCGTTCCCAGGGCCTTTTCCCTTAGTTGGGGACCCAACTAAGGGAAAAGGCCCTGGGAACGAAGCTGTGTTAAATATGCTATTCGTTTTCAAGGGGATTTAGGGACCAGTCCGGGTGGAGGAAGGGGAGGGAGGAAAATTGACGGGGACTGGCACCGAGGGACGATATCATGCTCATCAGCGGTATTTTCAAGCAGCTGAAGACCTTTGTCAATGTACCTGATGTTTTGAACGAATTTTTTCAAGGATAAGGAATATATTCTTCTTCAGATACAGTGTACGATGTTAGTGTTAGTTAAATTCATATTCTATTGAGCGTGAATGATGACTTCGGTCAGGGAAAATGAGCCAAAATTAAAGGAAACGAAGGTAAACGACTTCGAGTTAAGATATCACCGGTCGATCAAAGGGTTCACATGTGAGTACAGTGAGTGAAATACACACCGGAAACGTATGGGCTTCTTTTTTTTCTTCTGTTGATGTCGCCGATATTCCTGTAACGTGTCAATCTCCTCTGGTAAGCGTAGAAAATTAAAAAAAATTGCCACTTTCAACTCGAGGCTAATCCTGTTATTTTGTAACTTCTCTTTGGACTATTCGCCTTTTTAGGGTCTTCTGAAATACACGGCGTCTTTTCGAGAATTTCTGCTATTTAATTCGGTAAACTGCTGTAACTGCACATAACATCGGTGTCTTTACACCGTCCATGATCTTGACAACTCACACTACTGAAATACGAAATTTGTCTAGCATGTTTCCTTCGCTGCGAAAGTCTGATTCACAGCTGTGACAGACAAGCTTGAAATAGCGTCAGCTTTTGTAATCATTACGGTGGCTAATTTACCATTTCAACTTTGTTGATATATCCAAATCATTTCGTTACTCCCACCGACGCAGCCCCAAACAGTTTCTTTCGAAACTATCAGCCTTTATTCATTTATATGATGAAAGGAAGACTTAGGATTCGACAATGATGTTTTTAGAAACCTACGTGTACAGAAAAAATATCTGAGTTATAGTTGTAAATTACAGAAATTAATTCCAAACATCAATCATGTTTTACCTTTGATTTTAAAAGTTAGTTAATATTGTTATTGGCCTCATTAAAGAGGTTGAAGAGTTTTAAATGGTTGTCTCTCATGAAGGCAAGTAAACGAGTTTGTTGGAAATTGGGATTTGGCAACATTTCAACATGAAATTTAATATGATCTAAAAACAGTGTGCATTCGACCATCTAGTAAGACTTTCACTGGTTTGCTATGACAAAATGTTTACATCTAAGTTTTTTACTCAGGTTATGTATTGAATGCACAGTTTTGTCCATTTTCCCACTAATGCTGTAACAAGCTGGAGCATCTATGTAATATATTTCAACCCAACCATTTTCCACAATTTGTAAACACCATTATGCAATAATTATGCAGGGAGATGGAAAATTTGTGGCATGTATGCCATGCCTGAAATGTTATGTTATGTTATTGAGGATGATGTATATCGGACTTGGCTTGGCAGTTCAATTTTCTTCCCACTCCGGTTGTTGACTTAACTCAATGAGGTTGGGCTGTCAGGGCAAGGGGCTGAGGATTAAAGCAGGCCAACAGAGTTAGAAGTAATTATGAGGAAAGTGACTTTTTATTAAATCTGGAAACTATCATTGTGAAAAGCCATATTTGTGCTAGGTGACTCATTCTTAGTCTTATAAACTAGTTTTAGGAAGGATACAATATTTTATGACATAAACTTGATGTATAGGCTGTGCACAAAACTTTAATTTGACAAAAACTTTATAGCCATATACATGTATATTAATAAACCATTAAAGGGTTAGGGGAGGAACTGACGTGCCAGGCAGCTGCAAGATTTCATTTAATAGTAATGTATCAAGAATGAGTGTGTGTCTCATCATGGGTTCCAAACACTGAGAATAAAATGAAAACAGGAGGCTTTTATTGCTTTTTATTGTTTTGAGGTGTTTGGGCCCCCCTAAAGAAACACAAAGCACAATTTTTTAGGTATAGCTTCTCAAACAATTATTTATTATTATTTATTTATTGAGTCTTGTTGTTTTTTGTTTTGTTAATTAAACAATAGCTGTGTGATACAAATGATTTGAATGGAATGAATGTGTCATTTAGGAGTTATCCAACTTAATTTAGTGGTTATCATATTCATTGTTTTGTGCAACATGGATGAGTCAAGTTCAAGGTTTTGGATGCCCAAAATGTTTGAAGAGGAAAAGGAGCGTGTTATCAATTCTGTTACCAAATCTATGGTTTACAAGAACAAATGGGTTTTACAGATTTTTCGAGAATGGCAAAACTAAAGAACACTCAAGACTGTTTAAAGCTGAAGACATCGGTGTGGATGTGGAAGAGTTGACTGAAAGCAGTTCGGTATTGCAGAGTGTAACTTTGGATGACTGTATGTTGAATTCATTATAAATTCCAAGAACTGCCATAATATGTGAAATACCCAACTATTCTGTTACACTCTTTGAAGGAAATAAAGGTTTTGTTGTTTACATGAGACATTTAGTCGGAATTTATTCATGTCACATGAGTTTGGTAGAATCAGTAGACATTTGGATATTGTATCCAAATTATCAACCAATTTGATACGACATCCAAATATTAAACGATTTTCATTGGGTAACCAAACACATCCGCTCGATTTGGTATACAGTTGTTGATTGGTGGGCTCAAGTTATGAATTATTAATGAGTATGAGACTGAAGTAATTACTATATGTTAAAGTTTTAAAAAGACCTGTTGATAGCTAATAATAGGAGGTCTATGAATAATCAAACAAATGTTTGATTATTCATAGACATCAGCTTGTTGCGGACAGCACGTTTAAATAGCAATATCGCAGGGGCTGTGCCAGTGGTTCCGTGTGGCGTTGTGCTATAGTTACGTAAGAATCCTTGTAGTTTCTTCCTCCAATTTTTCCCATCACCTCTTGAGGCCTTGATACTTTTCTTGAGCGTTTCTACGAATCTTTGAACTTCACCATTGGCCCTAGGCCAGAGCGCTGAGACTTTGCGATGTTTGAAACCAAGCACCTGCGAAAACTTGGCGAAGTCTTCTCCATTGAATGGAGGACCATTATCTGTCTTGACCAACCGATGGTGGCAAACAGCTGATCAAGCTTAGGTATAACAGCGCTAGCGGATGTAGAGGACACTGGTACAACGAATGGAAACCTTGGGAAATCATCAACCGATAGGTGGAGGTTTTCACCATCGACGTAGGCGAAATCAACACTTACTTCATCGAAAGGGTTATTAGGTAATATTGACATTTGAAGCGGTTCTCTGGTGAATACTGCTGTCACAACTTGACATGGTAAGCACGTTTTAATCTTCATTTCGACCATTTTATCCATGTAAGGGAACCACACCTTTTCTCTTAGGAGGGCTTTGGTCTTTACTATGCCCAAGTGACCTTCATGTACAATCCACAATTCGTTCCTGCAGGGTGACAGGTACCACGAGACGATTGGATTTCAGTAGGACGGTGTCTGTACAGGTTAGTTGCTCCTTTATTTGCTCATATCGTGATAGCTCAGAAAGAGACACATTGGGAGGTGCCTTGTGCCAGCAACCGGACTTGACTGCGGCAATAACGGCTTGAAGGATTAGATCCTTTTCAGTTGCCAATTCTATCTCGGAAAGTGTAATAGCCTTTGGTACAGCATTCCTCGCGACATACGCAATATGTTCCTCAGATTCTGTTTCATAGTTCTGAGATTCAGGATCTCCAACTGGGTGTCTGGAAGCCTAGTCGGCTGGGTTAGCAGCGCCTGGGCGATACTCCACAGTGAAGCGAACTGCTGTAACTCCATGAGCCAGCGTTCGATTCTAGCTGATGGTTTAAATACTGGGTTGTTAAACAGAGTAACCAGAGGCTTGTGATCAGTAACGACTTTGAACTCATTACCATAAACAAACAGGTGGAAACGTTTAACCGCCCAGTATATTGATAGAGCTTGTGGATATCTTGCCTGGGCAGGGGTGAGCGGACAACTGGCATAATGCAGCGGCCTTACTGCATTGGTGGACTCATCTTTCTGGGTTAAGACAGCACCTACGCCTATAGGGCATCCATCGAAAAATATGGAGGTTGGTTTTCTGGGATCAAAATATGCGAGCGTAGTCTTGGTTGATTATGCAGCTTTG